AGTGTATTTCTCATTTATATTTTCATTAAGTATTTTAAATTAACTGGCTTTTTGTGGTTTTATTTTTAGAAAGCATAATTGTGATGTCAAGAACAAATGAAAAGGAAATGAATTGTAATGGGAGCCAATAGCATTTCTTCTAAGCACGCATGAAGCTGAAGTACTGCTATCACCAACAGTGGCTCAAGGGACCCACCCACATAAGCAGAAGATGTCAATACAAGTGGTGATGGAATGGATTTCTTTGAAGAGAGTGTGTCTCATTAGGACAAACACGGTTTCTATACCAAACAGTATCACTTGAAAATAAATCAGTGTTGGCTTTAAAACTCACAGGGCATTTAATATCAAATGTATCTATAACCCAAATTTTATTTTGTCATAGAATTTTTTGCCATGTGATATTATGCATTGCAGTCTTCAAAACATGTTTTTTTCTTAAATCAAGGATTAACCATTTTTTTGCAACCATTAAAAAATCTGATTTTGTATTCGAAATAAGAAAGATTTTTTTTTAGCATATCTTTTTAATGGCATTTGTAAAAGAAATATCACATTTAACTCACAGAGTAAAATTGGGTCTCCCCTCCCAGTATTGACTAGGTCCAGTCTTGCTTAGTTTCCGAAACCATGGAGATCAGTCAAGAAAAGTTATCTGGTAGATATACGAATGCCAACTTTCTATATAAATAATATATAGAATGAATAAATAATATATAATACACATGGCCATTAGAAAATGCAGCAGACACAGACACTAACTGAGTAAAAACCTTTTTTAAAAGAAAGGTTTTGAGTCTATGCCTATACTTAAGCAGATTTTAATACACTGGGGATAGAATTCAGAACTTTAGGGCTCTGTCACCCATAGAATGCAGGTGAGCTTGGGAGACAAAATTGAAGACAAGAGTCAGTTGAATGAAGGTTGGGAGGTCAGGAGCTGATAGATAATAAGCCAGATAGGTACCGAGCATAAGGCGAGCATGAGAATCCTGCAGTTGACTCAAAACATGAGTCATGAAGATTGAGGGGAATATGGACAGAATAAGGTACCAACAACTTCAGTAGGACAATGACTCAAAGCACAAGGACAAAGCTACACTGGATTGGCTTTTTGAGAAGAAAATGAATGTCCTTGGGTGGCCAAGTCAAAATCCTCACTTGAATCTGGTAAATCTTCAATTGCTGGTTGTTAACAATCCCCAACCAACTTCACAGAGTTTGGCAAGTTTGCATCGAATAATGGATGACACCTGGTGTGTAAAGTTGAATTTAAAAAAGGGTGAGATGCCTGTAATTGTTGCCAAAAGTGCTTCCACCAATTATTGACTCAAGGGTGATTTTCTCTCACTCATAAAGGCTTTCAGATTTAGCATTCTTGTTTCAATTAAAAATATTGATTTAAGTGGATTGTGAATATTTCATTGATTTTCAATACCTGCAATACTGAATGATTCAGGCTCATTAACTTAAATTTTCATCGTTACAGAAACGGATTTCTCAACAATTACTTAAGATCAATCCAAATGAAAATTGACGACACAGGCAATAAACGTGCAAAAAAGTCTGAGCAATAAATAACACACACACATAAATATATGGCAGTATTATGGTGCATAACAGTAGTTTGGCCTTGAGTACTGTGAAAGGCCATTTATAGACAGAATTATTCCGTTTGCCCCAGTCTCTACTATTTAGGATTATTTTTCTGAACTTGCAGGGCTCTGTACATCACAATCTGAATTTCCATTGATGGGTTTTTTCCGCATTCCTAAACATACACATCAGAGATGACATTATTAAGCATACAGGTTTTATCATTAATTAAAGAAAACTCAAGTCTCATGATGTACAAAAAAAAAAAAGTCGGAACAACCGAGTACGAGTGAAGTTTTCTTGTGACAGAATACATAAGCACCAATAGACTATACATCTATTCATCAAGAAAGTGTCACATCTCCAAATCAACAAAGCTTGAAAATCTGTCTGAATTTAGGAAAAGGTTATCCCTTTTCATTCCCTTTTCACAGTTTCTATAGCACCATCCTTTAAAAATATATTCAACAAAAATAAAACAGCTAATTAAAAAGTGTTAAAAGCCCGTTGTTGTGGGATTTAGAAAGCATATTTAACTCCACACGAAAAGCAGTACAGTATGTCAAACCTGTAGCACCTCTGTTTCATTTAGGGGTGAAATTCTTATTTGAGCACTAGAGTAGCTTTTGCTGACAAGAAATAGTGATCAGAAGCAGATTAAATTGTCAATAGCCAGACTGTGTTCGGGAAAAAAACTAAGAAACCTAGTGGTTGTTAGACTGGTGTTCAGAGTGCATAGAGTCATTTCAAAGTCTAAAGCATATTGCCTAAAAAGAAACATATTAGCTCTAGCTACATAACATGAAGCATGTTAGCTCTATTTTGCCTGCTGCTTATGGTGTGATAGGCCAGAGAACTGAAAAGGAATTAAAGTCAGATTTGTTTCTTCTGAAAGGAATAACACACATTTTTTTTACGGTTCTAACTTATTATATATATGTAGAGGCTACACAACTGAATACTCTATTTTGAGTTTTATCAGTGGCATACTGTACCAGTAGTAGAAATTGCTTAATCACTGGATATACAGTACTGCTATATCCATAACAAAAAGTATGTGTTTCAATGTGATCTTTATATTTGAATCAATTTTGTGGGTTCCTGAGGGAAGGAAAGACTAAAATCCCTTAAGAACAACCTTTTTGTTATGAATCCACAAGAGGAATACTTATTCCTTGACTCGAATGTTGTAACTGATCCATCGACACACTTACTTCCTCAAGGTAGCCAACAGGCGTTTTTGAATTCAAAAGACGGAGCCACAAAAAGAAATGAAAAAAAAAAACCCAACATAATTGCCTACAGCATGAAATGTGTTTCCTGTTCAACTGTTGGTAGGAATCTGGTCTAGGGCTAGACTTTGATGTGCAATTACAGAGATTCTCCAACTTCTTATCTGCAGAACTTTTTGCTATGTGGAGAAAAATCCACAATGAAACTTTACATTCAATTTGATTACATGCCATTTTCATTCTCACAATTCAATATAATTGTTTATTACAATGATCTTAAAAAGTTTGTATTACCCTTGAAATAAAGTACAGTTAGAAATATTTTGGATATGTGTCTTTACATACAGTGTAGGCCAAACGTGACAGCTAGCACTGCGATTAAAGTCATTTTTATTTTAAATAAGAGTTCATCCAACTAGGTACAAAAAGTCTTAAGAGAAGGAAAGGAACTATGGTGGATTTGCATATTCATTTTTTAAAATAAAACCTTCTTAACTCCTTAACCACTGCGACCCCTAAATAATTCAATCATTAAAATCAGGAATGGATAACTGTTATTCTTGAGAGCTACCTGACACTCATCACCTGTTTAATAGCCTATAATTCAAAATGAAAGTGTTATAAAACTTATTCAAGGATGACTCATAAAGTCTGCTGAATTGTGGCTTTCTAGGTCCAGGACTGCCCACCTGTGGTATAGAGTTTGTTTGCCCAGCTGGTATAACTAGCAATGTTTTACCACATATTATTCAGGATGCTTAACTATGGTTGTTGGAAGTCTTTGTCTGGTCAAATATTTGTCATGGATCATTCAGTATTGAATATAGATAAGTTTTATTCAATTCTTATTTGAAGCCTGTTGATATTTTGGGAATGTAATCTACTGTCCCTAACCCATTAAATTAAATGTTATTAAAATTTAAGGAATTAAAGAAACAAAGAAATGTCCTTTTTAAAACTATCAGGAAAGGAATTCATTTACAATGGACAATATGAACAATATTGTGGACAGGTATACTTAAGAAAAAATAGAACTGGGTAATATGGATTAACTGTAGACTTCAGTAGTTGATTCACTACATTAGATACTGTATAGAGACTAAACAGTGAAACTGGGAGCTGGGAGGTAGGAGAGAGATTAATGAATGCTCATTTTGCGGTTTATGCCACAGTGCCAGGAATAACACAACAACCGTTAGGATGTTTTTTTTGCCGGTCCATTTTCCAAGAGGTTTCTGAAAAGACAATCTTAATACCTTAATGCAGTCAATTAGTGTTCAAAGCAGCTGAGCAGGAAGTCAACAAATATTGCACCTTAAAACGGCGAATAATTACGTCTTCTGTGGGAAATGACACTTTGCGGATGATGTTTGTCATAGGTTTCACTACAAACCTTTTTCTTAGTAAAGGTGTGCATCCGTGCACTATCCCTTCAGCACCGAATTTACAACAACAGGTAATTGCATAACCAATTGGATTCGAGAAGGTGAAAACAAAGTTTAGCGTTTTCTAATTACCCCACACCGGTGTTCTAAAAATTATGCCGGTGTCCAGTTAATGTTGTAGAAAGAAAACTTCAATTGCGAAATTTCTGTTTGATGTATCTTTTGAAATGGTATGATTTATTTGATAGATGAACGGAGATAAAACACAGGTCCGGACTGAGGACCATAAGGCTATATAGGTCATAAAGGCTAGATAGGATAATGCAATTAACATCGTCCACACCACAATGAACTGAAACCTTTTAAAGTTTTGTTTTTTCTTCAACGAACAAGTTTTCAAAGTTCTGCTGATGTTTTTGTTTTAATTCGCTAAGTGGCGGTATTGCGCTTGGATTGCTAGATACTGTATGCACACGATGCAGGCAATCGCAAGCCATCATTCAAAAATACTGTATAACTTCTCCACGCTTCTCCTTGCATAATATACTATAACACTGAGAATATAAAATAAACTATAATTACAATAAAGTAACACCCACAAGCCTGCACTTAGCACTCAAAGCATGGGATGGGGACGGTTAAAAGGTTGAATTACACTGTGTTTTTTATTACTTAAAGGGTGTGGTATAGAAATTTAAATAGCGAAAGCATTCTTGGCAGAACCAGCTTGTGTCTCCTCCTTGGTCAGGTTTCTGAAGCGTTTGCCATTGCCTCGAGGTCTCCCGCACAAGAAGCTTGTTTTCTTTTTCCTGTTCCAAAAGAAACGCTAGGAGCATACTTACCATAATTGCACATAATTAAATTTAGTGTTTGGACTTCCAGTCAATGCTCTGAAATATAAGTGAAACATGAAGTTGCTATTGATCGAGGCATCCTCTGCAGGAAAATTGCGAGATAACGACCATTTAACCTGCGTGATCTCTTAATGTTCAATTCGGACGTAAATCATTCCCGTTTAAGAAAATACAAAATAACAAATTCCTGGTAAATGCTTATTTCCAATCTAGAAGGATTGACGAAAAGGAGAGAAAAGGATCGAGACAAAAAAAAAAAGAAAAACCGCAACTGCGCTTAACACGAAACGAAATGATCGGGAAAATAAAATGATTTTTTCCGAGAGGGTTCTCAACGCGTTTCTAATTAAAGACATGCCGGGCTAATCCACAAGGGACAGCTCCTTACGTCTGCAAGCGAAAAAAAAAGTGAGCGAGCCCTGTCAAAAGACTGGAGAGAAACTTCCATCAAGACACAAAAAAAGTTACCCAGTGGACTTTTATTATTTTCCACCCACTTTCAAGTCGATAAAATCAGCCGATGCCTATACTGGCATCGTATAAACATATATAAGAACCTGCTTCTGGGCTGTCATGGTGTACTGCGAAATCTAGGAGTGTAAAACTGCATCGAGGATTTGAATTTCCTGCTGTACAAGCTGCTTCTTACAATCCCCGAGCAAAGTGGGAGATACACTGCAGGAACCAGAGAAAGTAAGGATACGATTTCAAAAAGGGGGAAAAAGGTACATTTTACTTTTTAAGTTCGATACTGATACGATTAGCAGCTGAGAAGCGCAGCGTGAGAACCGCAAGTACTTGAAATTCATTTGTCGGAGCTTTTTGAAGTGTAGCTTGGAAACATTGCATTCAACAATCTTACATTTTATTTAATAGATTACAGATTGCACAATTTATATGTCAGCGACTTCTTCAGCAGCATTAATCTTGAATGTTACTACTTCAGCCGAACAAAAACACCTGTCAATTTGAAGCGTGTTATCAAGTTCATATTTCAACTATTGTACTGTACAATATGAACTGAAGTGTGCACTTAGCGATACAAGTAGAATCAAGAGAAAGACATACTCACAAATGGCATGTAACTTTCTCTATACTTTAACATTGAAGCAACCTCATCTTTTATTATCCTTATCTGTCTTTCAGGGCAATAAAAGACGACGCAGGGCAAAAGGCTGGTTTTAATCAGATTGCAGTAGCAATGAGCAAACCGAGATCACCTTTCTTTCTGGGACTGGTACTGTTACTGCTCACAGCTGGATACTGCAAAGAAAGCACTGAATCCACAGACACGAAGAACAGTCAAGCCCTTCTCAAACTGATAATGGACACGGTGAAGCACTTGAAAAAGCATCATACCGAGCAAAATGAAAATATTGTGCAATACATTTCAAAACATAGCGACTATTCTCTTGATCCAAAGGAGCAACAACACATTGACAAATCCTACCACGAGGATCACCACGAGGATCACATTGTTGGTAAGTTTATACAAATCTACCTGGATATGGAGTGTTTTCTTTTTAGTGTAACAAAGCACAGGCTTCCTCTTTGGTGCTATAGTAGTGGTTAACCATTGTTTTTCACGAATTAAAAGTAAAGATAAAGTCATTACAGATTTATATGCAAATAAAAATAAGGTCGCTTTGTTTAAAGACAACCTTCATTCCTCCTATTGCTGGTAATCAAAAAAGTAAATCAGTAATCAGTAGGATCCTGTTGTATACAATACGTCAGCATGAAGGAGTTTATAACTTGCAGCTGTAAAATACATCTGGATTTTCAGTGTTGCGGTGCCGAGGAGAGTACAACAGTTAACCCTTGAGCCAACATTAAAACATCGCACAGGTAGAAAGACCTGAAGTGTAACATACGGCTTTCAGTGATTGAGCTCTTCAAGAATTCAATGGTTCGTTTTTAAAAGATAAAATGGAAAACAGTTTGAGTAATATTCTTTTAAATAGACTCATCACTGCCAAAAAAGCTCTTTTAGCAGCAGCTGTATCTTAAGAAAGGCGATTATCACAACTAATGCAACAATTGTGCGTTTTTTCACTTTACAGAAATCTTTCCTAGAGATCTCAGGACAAAGGAAAAATTTTTAAAGCACTTAACAGGTAAAACTCTTGCTGCCTCTGTACTGTGTGCGTGTGTAAATTGACCAAGGGAATTTGAGTTAACTAATAGATATTATTGTTCCTTTTTCCAGGACCTCTTACCGTTAGTCCAAAGTGCAGCAAACACTTCTACAGGCTCTACCATAATACCAGAGACTGTACAATACCTGCATGTAAGTGCCACCTCCCTCTGATAAATGAGAAAAACACCTGACTTGACACTGTAAACACATGACCATATACAGTTATTACAAGTACATTTGATATTTTAAACTAAGAAGTTGTGATAACGTTTTCGTTATGCATTTTCTTTAAGCTTTGATAGATTTAAACCCGGCTACAAGTACTGTACCAGTGTGTGTTGTAGTTCAACTCCAGAACATTTTTTTCAATCCCAAATGTAACATGCAAAGAATCTAGTTTTTACGAGGATGAAGTAAAAACCCTATTGATAGCCTGTTAATTTCATGTTATTAAGTGCATGTATATAAACTGCCAGAATGTCAATTTAGAACATAAGAATTCTGCATTAGAAATGCTATGAGATTTGTCTGTTGCAAACCAGCATTATATATTGAAGTCTGATTTTTTCATTTAGATTACAGAAGATGTGCCAGACTCCTCACGAGATTAGCTGGAAGTTCACGATGCATGGAAGGTTAGCTTTAACAGGTGAGCTTGCTCAACTTACAAAAAAACCCCACACAAAATAACAAACCATCATTTGCGCTGTTAACTGCACAACAGATCTGTATAAGTTGAACCAAACATAAAATAATTTTAACTTTGGAGGTACAATTTCCCAGATTCAAAGTAGTTGAAAGCAGATAAAGTAACCAGATAACTACATGCAAATTGTTTGGAACAATACAGGTTGAACTGGGAGGAAATTGGAAACAACACTCTGAAAATATTTATCAGTTGTGATTTAAAATGGTGTTTTAATTATTGATAAAATATAAAGAATGTTGTTATAATTAAACTACCCAAGGGAAAATTAAACATTTTAAATTTGCATTTCTTAAGCCAAGAAATGTGTATATTACTATAATTTAGAACAGCAGATCTCTTTGTTCATATCAGTTATTTAATGAAGTCACACATTTAACCATGCTGCCTACATATAACATGAATAAAACAGTAAATTAAAATATATTCTGGATAATTACATTATTTTCTTCATGTGATGTGGTTCAACTCCAGAACATTTTGTTCAACGTGTGTTACTCACAGAAACCAAACAGGGTCTGAGTGTTTCATGTACTGTAAGCATGTTTATAGAGAAGAGAATGACAAGTTTAAAGGTGCTGATGAGGCATGCCATATGGACAACTAGAAGATAATGTGAAAGAGCAGCACGTTTGTCAGTCATCAGAAGTGGCTGATACTGAACAATACAAGTTGGTGATTTTGAACAATACAACCCCCCATTTACTAAAGATACATTATGAGACTTGTTTGTAGCTCCAATACTGTTCACTAAAAGTATGCATAACTGATTTCTAGCATAATAAATTCCTTTTTAGTATCTGGATTAAAAAACAACAACATTTATTTCAGCCATAATATATCACAGAAAGTTCAAATGCGGTTAATGTTTAGTAACTGAAACATGGATGAACGCCACTAAACAACTTTCATCTCAGCTGTTCTGAATCACAGTCATTCCCAATTACTGTTCTTGAAGCTATACATACACATCATACGCAAAACTCTTTTTAAATCTCACCTTCTCCACCCCTCTTCCTAGTTCCTACCCCTTAACTATTCGGGGAATGTGCCTCCTCATCCTGTAACCAGTGTGTTTAGCCAGATCTTACCAAATCTACATACTCTACATCCTCAAATGCATCTAACTCTCCGCTGTCATTTTCCCCATGGATTTTACTTAAAATGTAGAATGAGGTAATCGTAACGTAAATACTGGAGTGCTACAAATAAATATACCTTTGCACTGATCATTTTGAATATGATCTTTACAATAATATTTTCTTGAAGATTAAGTGGTTCATCAGGATATGGTTGGAAGTTTGGTATAGGGATTACAATTACTGTTGCTTTAAAAAATTCTTATTTATATCAGAAGTTCAGTTACATGAAAGAAAACAGATTTTTTAACTTACTATTTGTGTTCATTACAATAGATAGAATCCATATCCTAATCTGTGACTGCTCTGACAGTTTTCATGTTAACCTTCTTCGTTCAGAATTAACATAGACAAATTTCGTATAAAGGCAAGCATAACTGAAGTGAAATAATTCTTTATTTTTATTTCTGATTTCAGCCTAACTAGGAAAGAAATCCCAAGAACCAGGAAAAGTGCCTTGGAGAACAACAGGGAAACGACTGAACTGAAAACATTTTTATCTGTCATACTTCATTGTGAACTGAACAAAGATTTATTTTTGCAAATGAATGGAGTACTTCCATAAACTTCACTTTTTGTATGTTGGTCAGCATCATTTGCAGATGTATAACAATCCTATAAAACGACTTCTGATAACTCAAAAAAATATATATTTAGGAAAATAAAATCCAATGTTCTGCTGCCAAAAAGAAACTAGATGCTTTTTCATACAACAAGCAAAAATAATGAAAGCTACTTTTATATCGTCTAACATGCGTTTTTGGCTCATATTTTGTTACATTTAGTTTCTTCTCAGCATTGGTTATTACTTGACAAATAAGGCTTGTATAACAAAATCCTGGACCACTGCAACCACAATCATTAAATGCTGGGGTCATAATGTATCCCACAATTAATTTATAAATTGCATGACAATTTTCATGCCTTTTTGTCTTTGCAAGACATTATCTCTTGACTAGAGGTGATTTATGAAGTGCTGCCTATAGTTTACATTCTGTAAAAGAAAAACAGCATTTCCTGAAACTCATTTGAGTGTGGTAAATATATATATTCAAGCTAATATCATTAGTCTTTCTGTACAATAAATGTATAAACATTCCAGCTAACGTGCAATATGTAAAAATTGTAAATATAAAATATATCTCCTATAAATGAAAGTGTTTGGTATATGATATCATCAGATGTCATGAATTACAAATGAATATTTAAATAAAAGATATTTAAATAAATTATGAGGTTGACCTTAACAGTCACTGTTTTTATTTCAGACATGTGGGATTCGTAATTAAGCAGTAAGCGGTGATTTACAATATTGAAGAGATTTGCTTTACAGTTTTTGCAGAAACATGACCTCTGTTTACACAGTACACGAAAGCTTAATATCTGGAATGATGCATGAAGAGAAGCAAAGGGAGAATTCAGAAGGAAGACATTTGAAAGTGTGTGGCACTTTCAGAAAGAAATTTAAGTCACTATATGGAGATCAACATGTGCATGCTCACGTCTTTTTCATTTAGATTATTAGGCGTGTCTCCGAAAGGAAATACATTAGGGTGAAAGAAAACATAGGTGGTTTAAAAAAAAAACCTACATCAACCTTCAATCGCACTGGCGTAGAGAATAACCATAATTAATAAGAATTACTTGAATTTGTAGGGCTCTTTTCATCCCAGGAGCCCATTAGAGATGGGAGGGGAACTGCTTAATTCACCACTGAAGTGCAGCACAGCAGCCCTTATACTCCAGCAACCCCACTTTGTAGCACATCAGGTGGAAAAGGGAGAAATTAATTTCACAAACTGAATTAGGGAGGAAAAATACAATTGGAAAAGAAAACCAGAAATAAACAACTGAGTAAGTTCTACATTTTCACCATGAAATGAAATGGCTAATAATATGGTAGCGCTTTCACCATTTTTTTAATGCAAATACTTCATGTTTAGTATTGTTTACACCAATGTAGGTTTTCTTGTGGTTCTCTTACAGCTCTGTTCAACAGTTAATCTATTTTGAATCAGCTCTTTTCAGCTGAAAAGCCTAAAATGATACAATTATTATTAATAATAATAACTGTCATCAGGACAAAGGGATCAAATAAAATAGAAAAAAACATGAATGCAATTATAGATCATGGTACGTTTTCAGCAAGAAATGTGACACTGTGTCAAAATAAAACTACAAACCTAGTACTGGGTGTGACCTCCACAAGCATGACCACAATCCTCAAAATGAGTCAATGACCTGATCAACCTCTGAACCAGCTATGGGAGGATGTTCTGCAACTCTTCCTGCAGACTTTCAGTGAAGCGTGAAGCCACGTGTCCCCTGCTGATGGCATGGCATTGTAAAACTGGTCTCATTAGACTTTCATTTTGTCTAGGACCAGGAGAAGGAGCGGCCCACAGCACGATTTTGACATTGTTTTAAGTTGTGACATTGTAGATGGGTCTAGCACTGTGTGGCTTTTCACTGTCCCGCTGGAACATGAACACTTCTAGATTCCTTTTCAGGAACAGAAACAAAAAAATCGGCTTTAGGACTTTCTCTGTACTGGATTACCGAGCAATAAGATTGCACAAAGTTGCACTTTTATGTTGAAGTAGATTCCTCTGCACATCTTCACACTTCCACTGTCTCACCAGGTGGCTTGAACAACACAAAAGCACCATGCTTTCCAAGACATTTCCACATTCATGGTATTCACTGGTCAATGGAAAACACTCCAAAACTCTGACACCAACCCAGATGTTCTCTGGGTTACAGGATATATCAATTTAATCACCCAGATAAAGGTTTTCTTGAATAGCCGGTGAGCTATTATGGGGACACACATCGTCCCCATAAACTACAATAATTTCATCCTGCAATTGTTTGTGCTGCACTCACAAAACTGTTACATAGCTGGATCAGACAGATTTTACAGTCCTATCCCAGTGCAACAGTGCTCCACCTTCCAAGATGTGGCCTGTCCAATACAGGACCTGGTTTCTCTGGATTAGTCTGCTGATTGTCGAAGAAGATCATCTCTTTCTCTGGACAACCTGACAAGCTGCCTTCCTTAAGGCTGATAGCAATCATCATTACTCAAAAGGAGCATGGTTGTATCTCTCATTATTCTGCATTATTTGAATCCTGCCTTTAGAAGGACTATACAGTTGACTCATCACCAATATTGTCAATTTTAGCACAATCTGAATATAAAACACAGCATTTCATGTGATTTTTTTACTATAACTCTTTAACTATTGTTATTCCAAGCAACAAACCCCAAAAAATGCAAATAATGTTATGCAGTCATTGTGCATCACTGTATCACTATAGTTATAACAGTATATCATTTTAGTTATAACACTAAACACGGGGTTTAAGGATCATCTGCATCACTTCTTTAATCTTGAATACCATTGCAGGTGTGTGGAGGGAGTTTTACATCCTGTACATCCTCAAATCCTGTAATTTGAGCAAACATTCATTTCTTACCCATCATTAATACTTCAGCTGACATTACGCTCTTAAGACAGAGAATAATCAATTCTAATGGAATTCCTCAAAAACGGCAGCATTCATATCTTCATTTGGTTATTTTTGATCCACCTGCATAGACCCGTGTTTAACAAGCACAGCTGAACCCTTCATTGATGTTTTCTGTTAGAATCTATTGATATCTCTGCTACTTTTCCAAAACACTTTGGATCTTTTAAAATTGTCATTACCAGCACTGAAGATGCCATTTTTTAACTGTAAAAGATCAGTTCACAAGTTAGTTCTTTAAGCTATGTTTTTTGAAGCAACATAGCTAAATGCAAAAAAACAATAAGATTTCGAGCACTTGGAAGCTTTTAGTGAAATAACATTCAGTTCAGTAATTCAGACATGCCCCTATATCAGGTAACTGTTATTACCATCCCTATAGATTCTCCTGTTTGGCTGAAGGGTGGGCGACACACGGCTGTCCAGCCCTACCGAGTAAAAAGAACCAATGGCTGCTGGAGAGGTAGTGAAACACGGATGGTGCGAGAGAGCTGAGTAACAACTGTAGGGAAGGAAATTCTGATTCATATTTATTCAAAGTGATGTGGTACCAGGTGAAGGATAGGAATGGGAGAACTGACTTCCCCTCCCAATTTTATTAACGATAAATGAAAATAGAAGCTCAAGATCCCTCCATGTTTAAGGGACACAATCATTCCCAACAGATGTTTGACAGAAGAATGATAAAAAAACACATTTGTTTATAAACACTAGAACTTCGTTCTAAGTAGCTGATAACAGTTCCCACATATGCTGCTACAGAAATGGCATTTTTCACAATTATTTGTATTTATTTAGTCTCTTGCTCGTTTTAGAAAACATGAAAGTAAATGGCATAGGACAGCTCTATTCCCCATTCCAAATGCAAAACCAGATTTGTGTAATATCATACCAAAAATGGTAACAAACACGATTTCAGACAGTCTCCTGCCAAGATTAAATCTTCTTGTGCAGGTCAGGAGCGTGATAGAAGAGCAGTAATAGATTAAGCATGAGATAACACAGTAACATCCTCAGCATGTAAAATATTTCTTATTATCTACTGTACCTTGTGTAGACACAGTAAACACTGTTTTAAACAATACAAGAGCTGATTATATGTCTAGGTATCTTATTGTTTAAGTCAACATTTTCACACCAGTAAATGTGTTTGATCCTTTTATTTTCACATGTTAAGTGGAAATAAAAGAAAGCATTCTCCTTATAAAGGAGGAAATCAATTTAAATCAGATACAAATGTGGATAAAATCTGAAAGTCCCCCAAAGTGGACCATTTTGACCCATTAAGATGTATTTGCTCTCATTTGCAAAAGTCAAGATTTTACTGCAAACCATATTCATTGCTAAAACTACTTAAGCAATAGTGCACTGTAAAAATAAGAGTCATTTGAAACATAATCATACATGCATGATCATTTTTGATAGTTTGTGCAAAATGCATTGTTTGGATTCATTCCTACATTCCAGTCTGTTTATTTAGCTGATTTTTTACAGGTACTTATTTCTTATAGGTGAGTAAATTAAACCTCTTTTTAAAAAGAAAAAAAATATTGAGTATAAAATTGAGTATTTTAAATGCTGAAGAAAATATTGAATGAAGAACAATCAAAAACTAGGAAAGAAGTGGCTGTGGCAAAGGCTTGGCAAAGCATCTAAAATGATGACACTAAGGCTGTTCTCCCCCTGCGCTCTGGCAAGTGGTACTGCACTACTAAAGCGAGGACCACTAGACTCAAGAACAGCTTCTATCCCACTGCTTTACACATCCTCAATAGGTAACAGGTGGAGCTGCTATAATAGTGTAAGCAATTATTATTATTAACTTCAATGCCTCTGACAATACACATCTGTACTAGGACCTTTGCATGGTCTACCATGTTTTTTTCCTCACTACTATATATTTACATATTTCTCCCACAACATATTTATTGTTCCTCTTGTTATTATGTTTGTAATGTACTGTCAACATTGTGTGGTGCTGTCTGTGTACTGTGTATGTCCCGAGAGATTAGTGTGATTAAGAATTCCAATGTACATGTAGATATGGCAATACTCAACTCTTAAGATTAGTGATTTCAATCTGTAACATACCTCAAGTTGTTGCTTCAAAGGGGTACACAACCATATACTTGAATTTAATACGCTGAATTGTACTTAAAGTGAATATGCCCCAATATGCATGTTCATTTGAAATCACTGGGTGGAACACAAAAAAAAAAAACCAAGAACATACTTATCATTCATATTTTTCTCTTAATCATAAATACCAATGCTTCACTGTAAAGCAAAAATATTTTGACTTTGCTGTCCCAATACCTTTGGATGGCACTGCACCGTGCAGAAAACTGGTTAGTAAGGACAACAGTGACTTTGTAAGGCTTGGAAATATATGGTGACATACAACATAACATATGCCTGCAATGTTAAGTTGCAGTATATGCATTGACAATATACTTTTCCCCCCATCATAAACCTGAGTTTAACTGTATGGTCAGATTAGACCAATTTAACTTTCTGATCTAAACACAAGGCATTACACATCTGGTGCAGACCAAAAGCAGGCTATCACCCAGTCAGAAACATCCCAAGTCAAGCACAGTGGCAGCAAGAGTAGTTTAATGGGCAGCTTCTTATTAGCAGAGGCAGGAATCAAGATGAGGAGCATTTGGACTTGAGTGATGAGTGAGCAAAGTACAGAAGAAACCTGAAAACAAAACACTGCTTGAGTCACCGAAGAATAAAAAATTGACATTTTGGTATGGCAATGATCCAAAGCACAAGGTAATACTATAGGCTTTTAACATTTTAATGACCACCTTTACCATGAGCAAAGATATTAAAGGTCTTTGAAATGCTTTGTATACCCTTCTCCTGATCTGTGTCCTTGATTGGCCCAGTCAAAGTTCTGACAATAGAAAATGTATGTATAGACGTGAAGATTGCCAAAGTATTAAGCCCTCTAAGTCAGTACATAGTGGTAGCTCCTTTGGTAGTAATTACTGCAATCAGTAAATTTCACTTTTATTGTCTTCTTTCAGGTTTTGCTGACATTCAGCCTCCTTCACATAAAAATGTGTTCAATGTCATTATAGTTTTGAACAAATGCATACTTGAAAGTCTTCAAATGTGTTGTTATTGGCAGGTGGTAAAGCATTTTGCAAAACACCATATGCTGAATATAAAGCAAAGGTTATTCCCATAAGTTGTGGGACGAAGTGACAATACCGAAAATGCTTGAAAGGGGTGTCTTACAGTTTAAACTATGTGAATTTATGACATTTACAAAACTTTAAATAGCATTAGCCTTCCAGCTTTCTACCAATATTACATATATGTAATAACATTTCACACACAATCAATTGTGTGTGCATAAATACTCCAGATGGGTTTTCTGTGCGGCAATTTATATTGTAAAAGCGTTACATATTTTAAGACCATGTTGTGCAACTTAAGGTCTAGTCCGTCCAGATCTGTCCCGCTGTCATCAGACTGGCATCGCACAGGAGCCCCATCCTTTGCATTGCAACGATGGATCCATGTAGCCATTTCGAGCTGAGCCCAGCCGGGTTATGCAAGTACGGCGCTCACCGGCAAACACCACGCCCAGGCCCGGCTCCAGGGTCCTAGAGTCCCTGATTCAGGAGGGTGGGTCCACTCAGTTTTTAATGGAATCATCACGGAAGTCTAGTTTGGATTGTTCTTTCTCTGGCCCCTCACCCTAGAGTGTCTGGGTGTCTTTTGAAACGAATGAATGATTATTCTACTTAATGTCTAAAAGACAGATCTTACTTTTTTTGTACAGAAACTAATATTGTTGCAGATAATACCTCTAAAAGCATACAACCTCTATGTTAAAATACCCAGATACGTGTTTGATACAGTAAATCACTAAAAATGAAGCTGGTATTTCAAAGGAATTCTTTTATAGACAGCGGTATTCATAATTTTACACAGCTGCACATGTACAATAATATTTTGTTTCAAAGTAATTATTTGTCTTAATTACATTTACTGAGAACAATTTTTGTTTGTAATTTTCTAAAACTGCCAATTAGTTGATTTTAAACTAAATAAGTAACAGAATGCACATTATAAAGGACATGAATTTAGGTGGGCAATTGTCAGATGATGCTATTAATCTGATGTTTAACAAGAAAAAAGGATACTGAGTGATTACAAGAACATAAACATTGTCATTTTTTTTACTTATTCTGACAAATACTGAAGTTGACAAAAATATAGAAGCATCAAGAATATTCTTCCAAAAATGCTTTGCAGCATCTAAGACATTGCTCATAAACTGTTTCAAAGTCTTCGTCGTTCCCCTAAAATAAAAAACACAAAATGTTGAAATATAAATGTGCACATCAATAAGACACCATTGTAGAGATGTATAAGCTAATACATGAAGTACCATTGTCACTGTATGTACAGCACTAAAAAGTTCATTTTCCAAAACGCTTGTGTGGTGGTTACCAAGCTTTTCAGGCAGTTTCCAAACATTGTCAGGTCAATGGCTGTGCTAAATAAACAATTTGAAAAGCACTTTGAAGCTCTTAAACCAGGGAAGTAAATTTGAACAATGTCTTAACACAAGGAAGCACAGTTTGGGCATATTCAATTTTAACTTCAGGAATAATTTAATAAAGACAAGTGTGCTATTAACATTAAATCACATTCTTACTGCTTGCAACTTAGTACCAATGATATTTTATTTCAAACTGGTTTGCATTCTGCACTAAAAAACTAGAGCTAAAGTATCTGAAAAAAAACACCAAAACACAAAGAAGGGATCTCAACACTCCTGTTTTCTTTCATTACCTTGTTTGCTTAATGTATAAAGACTTGACAAAAGCAAACAGACGCCTCTAAAGCAATCCTGTGACGTCACATAAAAAGCTCAGTCATGGCATAGCACAAAAAACAGGATCAAGAGGAACAAACTCACACACACCTGAGGTAACTATGGAAATATCTGCAAACCTTCCTTTCTCTGCTTAAAAATGAAAATCCTAAATTTCTCTTCAAAGACTAGTTATTGCTTTTTTAATATCCTCTACCTCTTAGAAGCTTTCATAATCTTGTATCATACAGTGCAAGTATTTTTTAAATTGAAATCGACAAATACTTATGCTCTTCCATCGACTCTTATGCCTGGACTATGGTGCTAAACCTGTGCTTGAGCTTGCATTTATTGTTAAAAAAATAGAATTTAGACTTCTGGTTAAATAAAGAAAAAGGTTATATAGGTGAGTCACTGTAGTGTCAACTGAAACATAAGAAAAAAACTACGAGTGAAAAGAGAGCATTTGGCCCATCTAGGTCTGTTATTAGTAGCAGATTAATATGAGGGTCTGACTCCGATTCTGTTTCTTGAAGAAAGCCAGGTTATTGGTTCCTGCAGCATGGCTTGGTGGCTTGTTTCATAGTCCTACAAAGCTTTGTCAGTTGTTAATACACTTCCACACGTACTCACACAGCAAACAATGCTTTCACATAGCTTCTACATGCATAATCTGGTTCAGTTGTCACAGGTGATTCTGAAGATAACCTTTGGGTTGACTTGGTCAATGCCTCTAAGGATTTTGGATATTTGAACCCAATCCTCTCCTTGACTTCTCTTTTTAAGACTAAAAATGCTTAGTTCTTTTATCTGTCAAGCATATGTCATTCCATGCATCTAGTTGCTCTTCTCTGGACCAATTCCAGAGCTGCATTGTCTATCTTGTATCTTGGCGACCAAAATTGTACATGATAATCTAAGTATGTTCCACTAGTGCACTGTATAATTTTAGCATAAAATCCTTTGATTTAATTATTCTAGCTTTATATCTTAATATTTAATTTGTTATTTATTGGTTTATCATATTGACTTTTTCCCATAAGTACTTTTTTCAAGCTCAGTGTTAGCCATATTATATTCACAGTTTGATTTTTCTACCTGGACAGTCCTCTGAGGATGTCCACTTTTAATAAAATCCGTCATGTACTGTAAGTCTTGAATTCCGTCTAAAGGACGGAATAAGCCTTGCTTGCTTCTACCCATACCTGAAGTACAACTCAGATCATTGATATACATCTTTAAAAATAAAATGGTCCTAGTACTAATCCCTGTGGTACTCCATTCATTACATCACCCCAGTTGGCATTTTTACACCTTATCTTTATAGGTTTCTATGATTTACCCTTCAAGACATATCTCTATGAACGCCAACTGCCTGCGACAAGAGAATTAACCGTTTATAAGGTATTCTGAAAACCTAAATTCAGTAAAAACTTTACTATCTGGCCTTTTACTAACTGGAATGGTCTACTAACTGGCATTTTCTTAAAGAACCAATGCAAAGTAATGCTTTACAATCCAGGAACATTTCTGATTCTATCCAGCTTGTATCCTTTATTTTTGTCGTCATTTGATACGCTTGTTACTGCAAGCACTGTGCTATGCTGGATGCATCATCTTTACCCAATTTTGTCTTGAAATATTAACACTATTCAGCATTCTATGGCCTTAGCCCTCTCTCGCATTGCTTCATGTGCATATCTTCGCTTACTGTACATGTGTGTTTCTGGAATAATTTCTGGTGTTTGCAGTGTTACCCTCTTCGTCATGGCTGAAAAGCAAGAAAAACACTTGGAATTACAGTATGTGAATTTTTATAATACACAATTTTTTGCAATGCGCTTTGCTTGAATTAAAATTTTTGTATTAAATAACACTGTAATAGTGTAAATATGTATTACTATAGCACTGTGATTATGATAATGATAACTGTTAAAAGTGTGAATGTACTGTACAAGATTACATTTCCGTCTTGAGCAAAAACCAGTAGTATTTCAGAATAAATATTGAATAACGTGCATTTTTCACAATTCTGCACCTTTCAGTCCCCAAGGATGCCAAATAGTAAAGCTTTTACTTACTATACTGTACTGCTGATGTTCTTTGTTCAAAGAACTCTAACGTGTTAATCAAGAAAGATCTACCTTTACTTAAATGATATCGATTAGCCCCTAGGATTATAATTCTCAACAGTTCATCCTTTAGTTTAATTCCAATTATCATGAGCATAACTGTAAATTTAATAGAAGCAAGATTTAAAGGTCTTTATAGTTGGTTTGTTTTTGTTACCCTTGTTATTGCTGGGCAATATACCAGTACTTTTGCAGTTAATTGTTACTACCCTGTCATAAATTATATCTGCAAGTTTGTTAACGGCCTGTGAATCATATTCATGTTTTCTTAAGTACAACTGATAGAAGATCATCAAGTAATTCTTAAGTGCTTCTAGTATCTGCAGCACTCTAACAAGTTAATTAAGTTAATGAATGCTTCTTCTTTGCTGCTTTTATTAAATATATAATTTTTTTCAGACTATTTTTGATTTCTTACTTGGTAAACACCTAATAAAAATATTAAGTACATCAGACATTTCCCTTTCACCATCTAAACGTTACTGTCCCAGATACATTTTTCTTCATCAGTTGCTTCTTTTTACACACCCTACCACACACTTCATACATGAGGAAATCTTGTCTGATCTGATGAGCTTTACTTATGTTATGATGTGTGTACAAAATAACTAGAATATTTTTCAATAAAATGCACACTTACATAATAGGGGTCTTTAATAATCAGCTGCTTTTCGGGGTCATAAGTCCCAAGAAGTTCAATTTTAGCACTGGAGTTTTTCACTTGGTTAGCCTTCCTGTTGAGATCCCTGCATTGTACAAAATAAGAAGTTTTATTTAAAAGGTTTTTCCTCTTCGTTCACAATAGATTGAACAGTTAACTACACTAATTTTATAAATTCATATCAAACAATATAATGATTAATGGTAATAAAAATTAATCCTAAAAAGTATATATTAATTCATTAACACAAATAGATTATTAAATTTAGTAGATATTAAGTTTATATTTTAAAAATTCAAGTTTTATTCCTTACATAAGTTATTAAAATAATATACTCCACTTATTCTGAAATTATGTCTGCTTTATTATTTTTCTTGTAGGTCCAACTATCATCAGATTGTATATAAAATATGTTTTGCAACACCTATAGATTATATACACACATCTATAATTTATAGACACTTAAAAATCTATTTTTAAAATAGATAACCCAGACAGTTGTCTCTCTGGTCCTTTCTCTGATAATCAAAAGAAAAAAATTAATTCTACTTCGGTGGCATCAATCACTGAAGGAACCTCAGTAAGCTGATTACAAAGTGAACCCATATAATCACATGATTACTGATGGCATTCAAAACAGCACCATGTATTATATTTGAAAAATGAACAGCTTAGGGTTATTTACAAAAAGACAATTGCATGCAAGCAATAGGATTGACAAGAATACATTTCTGTCGATTAATATCATTAGCGCTGGTAGATATTTCAGCAATAATCAGTGAACATAAGTTCAAATAAAATAATAGAAGAGGAAATATTAAGAAAACAAGTTGAATCACAAACTTGATCAAATTATTACACATTAAATCACTGCAGTTCTCCTGTGAATGTGGAGAAGAAAAGCTAGACTAGACAAACACAAGAAAACTACATATAATTACTATCACATTTTTTCTTTTCATGCTTTTTGTCTCTAGGCTATGCTGGTAGAGATATCTGTTTCTCTGACAAAAGACATGTAAAGCAGAAAAACAAAAACAAAAGCCAAACAAAAACCACAAAACAGGATTGATTACTAGAACTTAGCTGGGAATGCACGGATTATTCAAGTTCTCATCGCTTTTATAACTTGAGTTTTAGATCTATGTGGCATGATTAAATATGCGAATACTCGCTAAGTATAAAATACGTTAAGGGAAAAGAAGATGAAAGATAAAGGTACGACTAATATTTAAAAAAAATACAGAAAGGGTTGGGTTACTGTAGTACTCGTTAATGATTATTTCCTTTGATTTACTGCTACATAGAGCAAGTTTTGGTAAAGGGGAACTCAGGGAACATATTTACAAGAACCCTGCAACACCAGAGGGCGCTACATCAGCAGGTGTGGCAGTGGTTTTGTACCTTAGAAACTACAACTTAATCTCTGGTTGACACTGGTAATGTTAATGCCCTCTGGTGTGTAGTCTCATTATTGGGAAGTGTTCAATGTGGTGCCATTTGCATGCATGCATAACACTCTTGTTCTGTGGTATACTGGCGGAATTGCAAGCACATACCTTAAATTGCTTTCATCCATGCAAAGAATGTGATCAAAAGTTGTAAAATCGTCCTTCGTAACCTAAAAATACAGAAAATGTTGTTTTTCAGGCAAAAGTTTTACATTAAAAATTAAGCTTAATGTACAAGCATGAACACAATCATACCTCTGACACAAAAAGCCCTACCCATGTCTATAACATCACTATGTGATGCTAGCTCAAGTGAGTCCTTAAACTTCTGGATTTCACATTCCTTTATTTTTTTTTATGTTTCTTGCATACAATTTCTCATTCCAACTCATTTCTATTAAATGCCAAAATATGCAGATGATGGCGGACAAAGACAAAGATGGCTGTAGACAAAGTAAGATCAGATAGATGTAGCCTCATTACATAAGAATTAGAATACAACAGAATCTACTTTAATGTCCACATACACTGAAAAGCAGAGGTGTGCTTAGCAGATAATTTAAGTCAATGATTAATTTTTTATCTGCTGATATCAATTTTTTGTGCCTGGGCAGTAAGAAAATAGCCAAACGCAGGAAGGCAAGTCCATGGGCAGTGTCTTAAGCATTGTGTTAAAAGGCTGCTTCATACTGGCTGAACAGAGAAGCTTGTCAACACAGAGGAAAATGGATGATGCACAGCACACGAAAATCTTAGAGGAAAACCCGCTTCAGTTTCTTAACCAGAAGAAAAGAGAATGACCTTGTTTGGCCCAGTCAAAGTGCTGACTTGAATCCAACAGAAAATCAGAGGAAATACTTGAAGATTACTGGCCATTAACAAACTCCAAACCAAAGTGACAGAGGTTGAGCAAGTTTGCAAAGATAAAATGAACGAAAATTATACTATCCCCGTTCGTAAAGCTGATGGTGTCAAGAAGACGCATAGCTGTACTTGCTGTCAAAGGTTCTTTCTCAAGAGCATTGAACTGGGGTAAATCTCATGAAATCAATACATTTTAAGCTGTTGCTGATATTTAACCTTTTACTCATTAAAGCATTCCATTTGATTCACGTTTTTAATAAAAATATTCACTTTGACATGTGCATTCAACATTTGTAAATCAGCAAAACGAGAAGGACATCATGAGAAGGGGATAAGCAGCTTGGCAGGGGACTGCTCATGGATTGGGGAAAGGGTTGAGTGTTACTCTGCTCTGTGCACTTTCCCAGCATTAAGGGGGCACTAAGCAACGCCCTTGTTTACATAAAAGTACCAATTCACTGCAGGAACAAACTGCCAGACTACCAGTGTACCTCACTCTGTTTTGTAGAACTAGACATCCTAAAAGCAACAAAAGGTACACTATACCTAAAACCTGGCAACTTCAACAATTTGGCAATAGAGAAGAGAATTCTGTGGGAAAGATGCCATAATGTTATAGACCAGGGCCCAGGCTGCCAGTTACTGTAATTACTTTCATTCTTCTTTAATATTAAAATAACTATTCGTAAAAAAATGTTAATCAAATTACAGTAAAAAAGCTGTACCCTTTACTGGATTTAAAAATCTCTCCAATAAGCACAAAAATCAGTCAGCTGAAATTCCTTAGAAATTCCCGTCATTTTCCTCCTTCAGTACCGGTAGCTGCCAATGGCAGTTTATATTTACCATAATGCATTTTGTGGTTCTTATTTATAGCATGCTGCAAATTGAAGCAGGCATGTAATGTTAGTAGGGCTCTGATAGTGGTTTGAAGTGTGTGCAGTGAGTAACATCCTGAGTGAGTTCATCTTTGCTTTCCAGGATTTTTCTAATTTTGGTTTTGAACTAATCTGATGCAGAATAACTGGAGAAACCACTGATTCCTGAAAACTACGTAAAGAAAAAAACACATAAAATGCACGCATGATTAATTTTTAACCACATTATGCATATATTGCTCAGAGAATATTATCTAGATGAGCATAAAATAAAGTCAGATGTAAAGTAAATTATCATATAGAACAGCAGTTTTTCAACAACCGTTTTCAAAATCCAGTTATATTTAATGCTGCATTCCCCTGAAGCAGAGCTGTTCTCACTGTAAGAAAAATAATACTCACACAGCACAACTCTGAATGTTTAATTTTAACAATGTAGATCACACAACATATTACCATTCCACAAACAGATGTCTCATTAAACAGTACAAATACATCTTCATTATTTTAAAACTTTGATTAAAAATACAGGCAAAAACTGCATGAATGATCGAAATTGCATTAGGATCTTTAATATCTCATAAAAGCAAATATTTGCCTCAGGGCTATTTATGAAATGCAAGCATTTCCAATTTAGGAGCATGCATATGTTATGCTCTTTTGGTGTGCCTGGAAAGTCACTCAAAAGTGAATTAAAGAATTCCTTTAGCTGTCAGGCCAATGTCTTAAAACTCTCCGTCTGCTACTGAGCTTATCATTGAAATAACTCCTCAAAAAGGGTTTATAAGGTTACAGAATGGATCAAAGACAATAATCTTTGCAAAAATGAATTCTTTACTCATAACTTGTGTGGGAGTACTACAAGACATAGATTATCCTTAAGGAGATCAAAGAATGTCATGATGAGTACAGCTAATTCAATTCAGCACTAGTCTTCAAAGAGTACCGTCTTGAAGCAGCCCTTTAAATCCTTGAAAAAAAATATTTTCAGAGGAACATAAAACTGAATAGTCACTTGTCCAGTTATAGATTCCAGGTGACAATAAACCCTTCAATAATTTTCTGAAAAGTACATGAGTAAAAGTGATGTAGCACCTTTTACAGGTTTGCAAACAGAACCTGTGTAAAACCACTTCTGAACAGATAGGGAACAGGAACGCTGAGAAAAACGTGGGCATAACTGTTTAAGATAACTGACTAACTTTACATACATTGGTACTGTGTCATAAAACCATTAGGAAACCGACTGGATATTACAGACTGATTAAAAAAAATAGTTCAGGTGGGCAGCTGTGTCAGCATGCGTTGGTCGCAAAGGAACAAGTAATAGGTTTATTCCATTCTGAAAAGAGAAAAAAGAAAACACAATGTTTTGGCATTGGAGCCTTCTTCAGGAAGTTGGCACCTGAAGAAGGCTCCACGGCCGAAATGTTGTTTTCTTTCTTCTCTCTTCAGCATGGAATAAACCTATTACTTGTTCCTGATTAAAAAAAGTGTCATTCAAAACAGCCGCGAGGGATGCTGAGGGAAGCATGGCCCAAGATACACACCACCGACACTGTCAAGGGTAGAGTTAGGGAAGCAGGTGCCTGCCACAGCAGTAAGAGAGACAGCTCGGGGATTGAACAGAAGCACTGAAGGAAGTCCAACGGCAGTACATGACACAACAGACAACAATATGTAACAAGACAAATGGAGCACACCACTGCAAAGAAGGACCAATGGTGAAGGGAGCTTGACAATAGACTAAACGTATTTGCAAGGGACAGGGAGAGTATTTGTGACAGAGCAGACAGATCTGGTAATAGAGCCCTAGGATAGTCAGGACAAAATGCTATTTAGGCCTGTGAAAGATCTGGTGATGTGTGGTTTAGAGTACCATATACCATGTTGGAACAGAGAATATTCTGTGGAGACTTCTGTCGATTTTTTGTCAAAATCCTGAGAGCTAATCTAAACAACTGGATTAGAAGAAGCCCATGGAACAGATGTTAAAATTATTTAAGGACAGAAAATAGGACTTTCTTTACACAGTAACAATTAAGAAACTAAGAATTCTGAAGAAGTTGAATCACTGGTATGCCTTAAAAAGCCTCCTGGCAAGTTCTTCGGAGCAATTAACTAATAGGAATCGAGAGAGGAGATGGACCTAATGACCTCTGCTAATTTTGATTATCAAAACTGTTATTCTATGCTGTTACTGCAAGTGTGGTTGAATTGATATTTGCCTGACTGGGTTATCTGATCAGATTCTTCAAATGGAAGTGTTTTTTTCTGAAACAGAAGATTTAAAACTCAATACATTTGTCTGCCAGAACCAAGGACATTGGTGTCTAGAACAAGCTTCTCAACTATGCTGTCAAAAACAATTCAATAAATTATTTCAAGTAATCTTTTGCAGGTGCAATAAAATACAAAACAAAAACACCTTTGGGTATAATGCTAAATCAATCCATATTACAAATGTAAGCACGAAAACACAAAGATCTGCATAAATCTAACTAAAGCAAAGCATTTGAATAAGAACAAAAAACATATTACAATGTGTCAGCAGAACACTTCAATGCGTGATTTGAACGCATTTAGTAACTGCAAAACGCAAAGTGCTTGACATACCTAATCCACAGAAGCTTGATCATACCTGATCTTAATTTTTCTAAATCCTTTATAAACTACATTATTGCGGCCTTGGTGTTTACTGTTTGTAAACAGTTGCTGTATATTAATCTTACGGGATCAGTTTCACCAGGTATTGAGTTGCACCTCTTTCGAAAGGTTAAGGAAGACATTTCTGACATTTCTTGCATATTTGGGTGTGAGAAGTTGGCTACAACTCTGGGAGCTTCTGGAGAAGTTTCATGCTTGGATTGCTGAATGTTCTTTTACTTTTTAGGCGAGGTGTTACGACATTTTGTTAAATGCAGACCCGACGGTCTCATGAAAGATACCATATATTTCTTTTTATTTTCAGTAATTCGTGTATTTGTTTCATTTAGTTACCCTTTGGTTCACAGTAACTGCCCATTTTCAAAGCATAAGGTAATACTTGTTGTACTATCAAATATTAATTAACTAAAATATTACCTTGGGCTCAACAGGGCTCATGACGCATTGCAAAATGAGTCAATGTATTGTAATAGAAAGGTGTGGGGCTGTAACAGAAATTCCCACTAGATTCCCAACACTGATAACCCTAAAGAATATGGAAGTGCATTACCCTTTGTAAGGGTAAGGAAGGCCACTTTCAAAAATTAATGAATCCTCCTAGGAGGTGTGCCTCCCCCCTAATGATTACAAAAAAAGAACACAAACTTCACATGGTCACATCAGTTCCTGGTTATCATCAGGAACTTCAATCCTCATATGCTGGAGAAGTTTCAGCAGGATAAGGAGGCATCTTGTCTCCTCTCAGCTGGGGTCTGCTTATG